TTTTTAATGACTGTTCCTCTTTTGCTAGGTCTTTTTAAATTGCTTATATTATTTTGATTTAACTTTGGTAAGTGGTATGAATTGAAAAAAGTATCAATTTCTTTTAGATTCTCTGGATTTCCTTGGTGTCTGTTGTTATGTCCCCCTTTTTTTGTATCTAATTTTGTTACTTTGAATATTCTTTTTGCACCTTTTAGCTAATTTTGATAAAGGTTTGTCGATCATTAATTTTCTCAAGGCACCAACTCTTTATTTCATTGGTTCTTTGCATTTTGTTCATTATTTTTTATAATTATTACTTTTTGTGCAGAGCTGTGGATGAGCTGAGGATTGGATTTGGAGGCACAGAGAGAGAAGTGAAGATCTACAGTCCGTTGTTCTGCCCCTCTCTAGACAAAAACTCAATAATGCTAAACAAAGTTACTGTCTTTCAGACCTTTTTAGACCTATAATTATTTCCTAAATTTTATAACCATTTTGGAAAATCGATTTCTCTGCTTTGTTACATGGGCATTCCATAAATGCACAAGAGCACGAAAACTTTTGTTATTTGACTAGGGCATAGAATAATATTTTGGGAATAGTTTGCACAGGCTTTGTTTATATTGCTGGATACATTTCCACATCTAAGAAATATGATCTTTTAAAAGAGATCTAACTTTGGAAAGTGTGTGAATTGGACAAAGAGGAAAAATGTGTCTTAATGAATGAATAAGTATTAATTTCAGGATGAATAAAATGGTTGTTGTAGTGCAACATGGCTGAAAGCCAACACTCAAGAGGACCAGGCAGGAGGTAGCTGTGAGTTAGAGCTCAGCCTGAACTACAGGCTAGCTTGGGATACATAATGATTCTGTATCATATTAATAGATAACATATACACATGTGCGAATAATAGAATATAGATATATACATACACAGATGGTTCCAAAGAAGCACTATGGTATTAGGCTTTGAAAAGAATAAATCTCAGACCAAATTTCAGAAATTTTGTTAGCTAAGTGAATTCCTTACACTATTTTTAAAGAGACATAGAAAAATACAATAAATGAGCTAAGTAGATTTTACACTGATGTAACTTGATTTGTTTTTCAAATCATGAGTCACAATCCAATTCAATTTAGAAAATGTAAGTGGCACACATCTTCAAGTTCTCCTTTTCCTTGAAGCTTTGACTTGTACATAGAATAAGTTGATTCTGTTTTGAGAACTTTGGTTAGGATGCAGGCTTTCTCTCTTCTAGGATAAGTGTTCTGTGGTCTAATTGCTGGCTTGCATGTACTAATACACATTTTTTTCCAAAGAAGGTGTCACACTGTTTCCCAGAGTATCTGGGAATTTTTGCTAAATGGTTATGCTGCCAAATTGTCTTCTTAGTATTTATGTTTATAACAATATAGCTGGGCTGCTTTCAACCTTAGCCAGAGAAGCTTCTTGTTTGAGTGGGTCACAGTCAATGTAGAGACTCATAACTGGTCAACAAACTTAAAATAAGATACTCAGCCCTGCAAAGGTGCAAACCTCCTCACTAAGGCTCAGGGAACACAATGAAAGAAGAAGCAGAAAGAATATAGGAACTGGATAATGGGTAGTTATGCTGTGAAATCTGCCTGGTGGACATTTCACAACTGCTGCCCTTAAGAACTCAGAAGCTGCCTGAATAAGATCAAGTCAATTAAAGTTTGAGCATTAATGGGAAAGGTGATCACAAGGCTCCAGACCTTGACAGATGCTGTTGGAGCAAGAACAAAAGAGAAGGAGAAAAATGAAGTTGGAGGAAGAAGAAAAGTAATAGAGAAACCTAGGGGAAGTTAGAGGGAAGAAATTAGGAGTGGGTATGATCATATGTCATGTATATATATGAAATTCTTGAACTGTATAATATATATATTATATATATATTATACATATATATAATATATATTATATATATATAAGAACATTTTGTGTTTTTGAATCTAATGTTGAGATTCTGGAATTTATTTAGATGATCTCTTTTCACTGGTGTCGGCTGACACCTGTTTAGCAAGGTAAACTGGAGCATCACCTTGTCATTAACAGATGATGATAGAAAACCTCATTCTACAACTCATGTCTGTTTAGACAAAAAGGGGAGGAGCCCTTTGGATAGTGGTGCGGTTCTGTTTCTCTATCCTCCTTTGATAAGCCCCTAATTGTGAAGAGCACTAATTGTTTCTTTCTGCTCTTTATTTCTCCTCCACAGACATCATAAGATATCATTTCATTGCCTCTGGACTGTGGTAAAGATCCTCTAGCATCTGCAATGCAACAAAGTAGGATGCTGCTCCATTAATTTCAGATAAGGTTGGAAGTCCTGCATTTTCACAAGCCCCTCACTGAACCTGCCTTCATCATTTCCCAACAAGGGTTACTATATCAGCTGTCTACCCAGTCCCCTGCCTCCCATATTGCCATCCATGCTTGGCATAGGGCCTACCCTTAAGAGTAGTTTGTTTCCCCAGCGAGACTTCCTGGGAGAAAACTAAATTTTCATTTGCAAGTGGCTATCAATTGAGATAGCTCCTGGATTAGTGATGGGAGCATGTACCGACTTCTTCTTTTAGCTCCAGGACCCTACCTGGTGCAGACCTGTGCAGGCCTTTTGTGTGCGGCATCAGGCTCTGTGAGTTCATATATGTACTGATCATGTTGAGGACCTTGCTTCTTGGGGTTCTCCAATGCCTCTGGCTCGAACACACTTTCTGCCTCCTCTTCAGCACATCTCCTTGAGCCCTGGGGGGATGGGGGGATTTGATAGAAACATCTCATTTAGGGCTGAGAGTTCCAAGGTCTCTCACTTTCTATATATTATCTGGCTGCATAGGTCTTTCTATATATCTGATATATGTATATGTATATGTATATGTATATGTATATATATATATATATATATATATATATATATATATATATATAT